AATCGCATTTGGAAGTGTTGCATTTTAACTGGCGAGATAGCTCTGTGTTTCCAGCGTGTTCCGGCGAGAATTTTTTCGCTGTTGTGCGGTCCTATGCCATTCGAACGATTTCAAAGCGAAACATGTTGCGTTTGTGTAATTACACGCCCTTCGAGTGGTTTCCAACGCACTAACACGTATTATTGTTGCATCGTATTATATTTTAATACCAATCACTTTGCTGTAATTCGTAACGATTTACTATGACACATTTAGTAGTTACTGTAACGAGTTTTTTCAGTTTCACTAAACTTATTTACAAGTAGAAGTTACATGAAGTGTATTTTTAACACTAAAACCACCGGACGGGTCAAACTGACACACTTCAGAATTTTTATTTTGCAAGTATTTAAATTATGAAACCGTTTTTGTTAATGACTTTAAATTAGATTTGTGTATTTGTATAGGTATAAGACTAGAAGGCCTTTCGAATCTCAAGATACGTATTGTTCTAATGTTTATAAAAATTGAAATAAGCCACTTTAATTGTTCGGTAGTTTTAATGTTAATCAAGAAAATGATTAAATGTTAGAAAAATTGAGAAATGGCAAAGAATTCGTATCTCAGCGTTTCTAGTCATTTACACTCTGATTCTAGTCATGTTTAAGGTCAGTTCTGGTCTTTAAATATTTCATATTTTGAATGTCATAAATTAGTAATACGGAGCACTGTAAATGATTTTAATAATATAACATGAAAGACGATACGTTCCACTTTATGGAAAAAAACACCGTGTCACATAATTGTATTGTATTATAACATGTTTCTTACATACAAGTTTCTAATATATTTTACTTAAACGTATCTTACATAATGCAATATTTAAGTTTTCTTTCCACATTTTTCGCTCTATCTCTTTTTCTTGTATTTCTCTAATAACTTTGTTCTCCTCCACTTCCTCAATTTAATTTGTTTTGCTGCTTCATTTCTTGTATATTTTTCTTCTTTTTTTCGACTGTTTTCCATCTTTTCTTCCTTTTTCTTTAACTTTTCCTCTATGTCTGGCTTTTAAAATACTCAATTTCAAACTGTAATGATGTGACTGCAATATCTCCAACAAATATGACGGTAAAATAATAGATAAGACACTTACATCTGATGCGATATAAGTTACTAAAATAATTGTGTATCTTGGGAAATAATTTAAATAAAGATGTAGTGAGTAAAAATGAAAAACAGAAAAAACTACCTATTCTTTATAGCCGTATAAAAAATATGCCCAACACAATTAATTCAATCACATGAACAACAAAATCGTTTGCTCAACGAAGTTCCCTTGATTCCTGTGAGTTTTAGCTAATTCAAATATATCAGATCCACGTTTATAAATTATTAAATAGCGTTTCAGTTTAACACTAAAACTACCAAACGGGTCAAATGACCCATGCCTGATGTCTTCTTTTTGCAATTAGAAAGGTAACAAATGTTTCTTTGAGATATTATTAAAGAAATTCACTTAGCACCACGCAAATTGAATTGTAAATCAATTAAAGTCTGAACAGATGCACTCATGGAGTTTCTATAGCGAAATTTTAAAAAGTCAATTGAACTGCCCGGTAGTTTTAGTGTTAACATGGTTGGGAAGAAGCAATTCATTTGATAAAGTAATCAGAGTTATTCATCGAAGATCATCATTCCCGTGTCGCGTCGCGTCACGTCACGTCACGTCACCTCGCATCAGCGAAGGGCTGGAACGAGTTACGAAAGAACGGATTCGCGGTAGTTCGGCGCGAGAACGCTGAATGCGGGCGGGCTTCGTGGGAGTCCGTTGGTAATTCTCTCTCGTCCGGACTTCTCTTCATCTTCCTCCGCATTTGGAAACGTTCTGCTTCTGACCGGTGACGCCATGGCACTGTTTTTTCAATTTGTTCTTTTTTTCGATTCTTGTATACGTTATCGTTGGGTAATTGCATCGAGGAGACGAAGAAAAAGAACACGAATCTGATGCCCTCATTAGCTGTTCGAATGCACCGCGTCGAGATCGCGTCATACCAAGCCGACTGGTTTCGTTTGATTAAATCCAGAATTAGACTTGTCGTACTTTTGATTAAATAATACAGATCTCTTATATTTTAACTATATAATTATGGTACTTACTGAATAACGTAATACCATTGCTCTTCCAAGCATTTGTCTTAATAAATTTTATAGATACGAATGCTAAATGTATATAGGGTAGCCCAAATAAAGTATTTGACATTTTTTGCCAAAATTGCAGTAGGTAACGATTTAAAGTTTTTAATTAATTCTATTGCATTTACCGGTTTCTTTTACCGTATCTCATTTCCATTTTCTAGAATCATTGCATTTGTTCAGCTTCCTTCAATTTAGTCGCGTTTTTATTTTTGCAGAGACATTTCTGAGCGTGGGAAGAGTACGAGAAAATATGTATTAATTTATGTGAAGGTTGTAACAGAATTAAATGCCGCGTGCAACACATTTTTCCAGAATTACTGCCAATAAAGAGATGAAAGAAGTATTCTTCTTTTTTTATTTGGAATGGAGTATTTTTTTATTCGGCATAGCTAAAGAGTTATGATGATGAATATTTTTGTCAAGAAGAATTTCACTGAGATATGAAAAATATATATAATATTAATCCAACTTTTAAGCGCTTGTTAAGTTCTTCAAAAACAGTATATCGAACATTTAATAAGACTAATGTAGTAACCGATACACAGACAATACGTAATTCCTATTTTCATAACTTGCCTTATTATAGAAGGATAAACTCATAAAAAAAAATATACCGGGGATAAATCTGAAGATCGAAGTAGCTATAAAACGAAACCGTCACGTTCAATCTATTTATTCTCCAATTTCCTTTCTAATATCTTACGTATATTAGCAGTAAAGTGTATCAGGGTGTCAACATGGTGAAACCATTTCTTTTCATGAGCAGTAGAATATTTTCCAAATCATTTTCCTATTACAAAGTATGTAACTAGAAAACTCTGCTTGTAAACAGATACGAGAAAAGATATGTGTGTGTGATTTCCACTTATTTTTAAAAGTACTTTAAATTAAATTACCCTACCCTATAAATGTATTTCGAATTACATTGAATTTTACGTCATGACTCTTAATTATGCAGGATAAAAATAAATACTTCAAGCAGATGTCGTTTAGTTCAATAAAAGTTATCTAAATGAAACAATGCATAGTTTATTGTATTTTAAAGGTAAGTATACCAAATGATCAGCTTTCTTGACGCCTTTAATTAAAATGAATGAAGTTAGCATCGACAGTGATTTTGAGGAAAATAATTTACAGCATTTTAATTAATCCATTCTGTACAAAGGCCTTTGAACAAAAATTTAGATATTCTTTTCGTACTGTTCCTTCTGTGTAATCTTTCCTACCCTATCTGTGGACTCGGCAATTTTGTTTAATATTTAATATTTTATTGAATGTATTTCAACGCTACCACGAGTCTTAATTCAGTTGTGCACGATAGAAATGTAAGTGTTAAAAAAGAAATATCCGTACATTAATTACAACTTTGCCTTATTTTTCTTAAATAGAAAAGCATTTTTAAATATGTAAAAATGCGACTCGATTGAGAAAGATTAAATAAATGTAATTGAAGAACGTAATAGCAATATTTCTCGCAATATTTATAAAATAATATTTTTATCAATAACAATTGTAATATCATGTCAAAATGTTTAAAGCTTTCATTTTGCATAATGAATATATTATTGAATATATTATTCAATATATTATTCAATATATTATATAAAAATCTTCAATTATATATTATTGTATTAGTCCATTTTTATTATCAAACAATAGCCATCTTCTATATTTAAAGTAAATACTGTTATGGCGTTATTTTGCTTCGTTGTTCTAATATAGACAGCAATTTTAAACATGAAATTTACGAGGAGACATAAAGCTACAAAGGTTTTATGTGATCACAACTAAGATGACTCTAAAGTATGAAATCAGTTAAAACACAGCTGCCATGGTGCGATTTGCGTAACTTCGTTAAATTTTACTTTTTATTACTACACCCACGATGTTGAGCTGGAGTCACAGCAATAAAAGAAATTCATCTGTGTTTTCCATCAACGATTTGATGGTGCAATTACGTCACTATCTAAACATTTTTACTGTATTCGTGTCATCATACAGCTTTTTCCGTGATGGCAACATTACTATTTGGTTTCTTGATTAAAAAAAACGTGTGACTGAATAATCGTAAAATTTTTATTAGATATTATAATCTTAAACATATGTGCAATTGGGAACTAAATTTAATTTTATATTTTAATACTAATGTTTATTTTCATTGGAAATTCTCTTCTCATCAGATATTTTTAAGATATACATGAATTGTTGATTAAAATAAATTAATAATTAGTTAATTAATTTTCTCCAATTCCAATCACATTTGTTTTAAACACTTTAATTTTTACGTTATTATTAAAAAATAAAGGAGTTTGGAGAATTAAAAATACAATGAAAGTAACTTTTCCTTTTTATACGCACACTTTTAAATTTCAACTATAAGGGTACTCTAATGTACATAATCTCATGGAACATTCAAATTCAGTATAAATAAATAGAACATATTTACTAATATATCTATATAAAAATAGTAAATATGTGATCAGATCATAAGCACTTTTACCGAGGATTTGAATTGAATTTATTTTTGCAATTATTAAATTAATTCATATATAATATTTTCTGTGAACATAGAAAAATGGCTGTGTAACGATTGACTACGAATTTTTATCGAATTAAATAAATTTGATAAGAATTAGTAGTTATAGTAGCGTATAAATATATATGTAATAGAATAACATCAATTGTAAACTATTTTATGTCAATATAAGTAATGTAGAGAAAGGAAATTGGAATTTACTAATAATTGAACTTAATAATTAAAACGACAGAGAGACGATTGCTCTCACGTTTAATAAATTAATGTTACATGGAAATGGTCGACTTACCCTGTAGCCCTTTTCTCCGGTACCGCCATATTCTCCGCCAGCACCTTTCTCACCCGTTGGTCCTGGGGGTCCGTCAGGTCCAATGTCTCCCGGAAGCCCTTCCGGTCCCTGTGGTCCAGAGATTCCCGGAAAGCCCGGCATACCTTTTATTCCCGTGCAATTGCATCTGTACGAGTCTCTGCAGATCTAAAACAAATAAACGGAACACATAGATTAAAAAATGTTTATCGGTTCTTTTGAAATTTATTTCACATCATTCACCATTCCAGTGGATATTACTTTTATATTTTATTTTGTTTAAATGCATGCACATTTTTACGTAATATATAGTATATCTCCATTCGATAAAACGAATAAATTATTCTCATACTTTCAATTATCGTAATTAAATTGACGGAAGACTAATAGGTAATACTGTTAGGTCTTCTAAGAAAGAGGACGAGGTGTCTTTCAGTTTTTAAATTTGCTTAAACTACGAATGTATAAATTCTTCCGGGTATTTTTAGATAATGTAATCTTCTATGTGAAAAATGACAGCTTGCGTTCATGAAATGAACTAATTAAAATGTAATGCTGAACTCTCACATACGGTTTTGTTCCGTCAGATTTCAAAATCTTTTACAATATGCATGATTCTAAAGTGAATATCTAGACGCGTATCATAGAAAATTTCATAATTTTGTAACTCTGTTATTTTAGTCATAAAGAGTACCTACTTAGGTAGAATAAATTTAATTAAAATGAATTTTCTTTAATTAATCTAATAATAACAATATACATTCGCATGTGTACATGTTCTGTTAACATACTTATACATTGCGAAATAATTTTGATGAGTTTTCCATCTGGCATGGAACTGTAAGTGGGTATTGTCTTACGTAAATCAATATAATTTATGTGAATAGCAATTTATGATATAGCAATATATTACTAGATATTGCTTGTTTCGCCACTTCATTAACGGAGACCACCAAAACAGACTTTAAATTTAATAATTTGATAATACTGTCTACATAAGAAAAAAATTGATTGATAACTATTGTATTCTTCGTATGGGCTAAAATCTCCTCTAAATCTACACTACGACATGAACAAAAAATAGGTTTGCATTCTGGATACATTATTCTATTTCTTTAGAGCACTACATCATTTTATGAATTTTTGAGTTTCTTAACTTCCTTTGCGAGAATCGAATACGTAAGGTTTCTACGTAATTATTTAATATACAGGAAATTCATCAGAATATGTTTCTTGTAACAGTCTTCTTACAAATGAACATGTAATAACATTGTCGGAAATATTGAAGATAAAGATGAATTGTTTATGTTATTGGGATAAAACATTAGGATAAAAGGATTGTCACTCCAACAAATTTAATGTGACTGCGAATTTATAAAACAAACAAGTTTATCCTTTTCACAGTCAACTAAAAGGGGAGAATACTCGAAGCAACACATAGAATAAACGCTTTAGTCCACTTTATTTTACTAGTACGACATACGCACTAACCTTTTTGGACGAATAAACAAAAATATTTCAAAAGATTTCAGCTTATCCTTGTAATATACGAACTAACACGTTGAATGCCATGATGGTCGCCGGCGACCCTCAACCAAATCGAATTACTATAGTTCATTCAAATAAACAATGATTATTTGAAAATATTTCTATATTATAAACAATGCTTCCTAATGCTGCGAAATTCAGTTTGATGAATATACAATAATAATCGTGCAATTCAATCAAATGTTTAATAATAATTTTTTTCCATTTTGTGTATTTTGCTTTATGAAATCGTGCGACATTCAACTTGTTAAACATATCAGTAGAATTTGGCTTGGACGTACGACGTATGGACTAAATACTGAAAAGGTTAATGAACAAGATCAAGTATAAAAGTTGCTGCTAATAATCACAAATAATCGATACGGCATAGACTCACAAGAAAAGAAAAATCGAAGTGCGAACTAGAGTATCCAAAATTACTCTAACATTTAAGTTATACTAAGAATTTTTGTTATCCCGTTATAAGTTTCGGAAGTAAGGGTGTTAATCTATGAATGTATTACGTCATTGTATTTCGATGGACGTTAGCTATTTGAATAATACGAAAGCTGAGACAGAATGAGAATCGCGTGTATATCTTCACGTGTGTCCCGCAGGATGAAAGTTGTTCTGCTTATGTCAACGAGACTCGAAGAGCGACCAGCGTCCAGCTTTTCGAGGAAACCCCGTCGTCGTGTGCACACACGAGACGTGGTCTCTTTCTGTTTAGTTCTTTCATCCTTCTTCGACATGATATCTCTCGTTCAGGCGTCTTTTCCATACGTGATTCGAATACATTACAAAATATTTCTCGTACTAAAAAGTGGAGCAGCTCCGTTTATGTCCCGTGGGGTTATTCGCGTTGGTTATTCAGGTGTTCCTCTGTTTATTGTGAGTCGAATTCACAGATTTAGGGCGTTAACCTTAGCAGCGTTTTAGAACATTCCGTGCCGATGTTTCATTTACTTGATGTCTCATTGAAATTAGTAACTTCCTTTAGTTTAAAGTTCGATACCCTAAAGTCTTTTTATTCTTTTGTAATTAAGAATTAGAATGAAATGGGTGTTAATTATTGAAATTGAAATGCATGAAGGATTTTGGGTATGAAGATACATTAATAATCAAAAGTATTTCATTATTTACTCGACGTTCATTGAATAAATTGTCTCTCCAATTATAAACATTTATAGCAAGTATAAAATCGTTTCATAAAATCGTGGGAACTTGTTTAATTAAATAAAAAGTGAGATGGTAAAAGCTGCTATAGTAATCTTCTTCTATCTCATAGACTCTAACGAAATGTAGGTCACATAATGTACTAATACACAAATCGATCTTAAAGTCTATATGGTAATAACACTATTATATTATATCATATTATTCTGCACATAATACATTTTTAAACATTTATTTGTTTATATGTTCATATTGAAAATTTCTTTCAAGGTGACAGTACACACGGTATCTTATTTTACTTGTATTCGGGTAATTATCGACAGAAAATGTTGAGATTTGATTCTCTTGCAAGCCAAGACAGAAATAAAAAAAGTTTTATTCTACACTCTTCACTTACTTCACGTGTAGAACAACCTTTGTTGACTTTACGATTCATATTTGGTCAGGGGTTAGCCAATTGCACGTATGCGCGACAAATATTCACGTTTGATTTTCTCAAAAACGAGGTTCCAAATAAGAAATTGATATTCCCTATTTTTTATTTATTTTCATCATTATCTTTTGGTTAACACCACTGAGTTATAAGAAACACTCTCTTTTATACTATTTATTTCTGTCAATCCTAGTTAGTCTTTTTATTATTGTTTTATACAAAATAATTTTACTTTAAACTTTAAATGGCTTATTTTTCCATGAATTTAACGTAGAAGTTACACGAGGTCTAAAAATATTCGAGAGGAAGCAGTTACGGTTACATCATCGCGAAACAACATTAAAATCTGTTTTTTCTTTCTTTATGACCGTTTCAGTAGGAGGGTGATGTAGAATCATTTAAGACGGCTCGCTAAAATATTTGCGATGGAGTTCCTCAACTAAACGTTTATGAAACCAGTTCACGGGACGTTCCTTTTTAAACAGAAGCCCGGTAATTCCAGAAGAATCGTTTCACATTTTAACAACAAGGATTCATGTAAGCGAAGAAAAAGTGAATCTGCACTTCTGCATCCGCCCACGATCGAGGATTACGCAGAATCAAGGTCATTCTTGCATTAATGCATCAGTTTAGTGCCTCCTACGCGATTGGTTGTGACAAGTCACCTTGTTTCCAATCACGTGTCAAGGTATCCTCGTCACTTTGGAATTTTACAAAGCCACGGAGATCCGCAGGATATTTCGAATCCTCGTATATTCGCTTCAATAACTTCTGAAATTGATTCGATTTGACCTGCGTATATTAATGGAGGAGTGAAGACCAATGTTCTGTGATTCGTTAGAAAAAAAAACTGATTTTCTTGCGAGGATAATTCTTTAAAGAATACTTTTAATTCTTTATAAACCACTATTATGTTCATGGATGTAGAATCGTCATTATAGCTATGATTAAAAAATTACGCAGCGATACTAATTTATTTACTGTTATGTTAGGAGTTTTATAAATAATAACAATAACTAAAGCATTAGTTAGATTTCAGTGTACAGATTCAATTGCTTTAAAGCTTCCTACAACTTTTGTTACAAAGAAGAGTCGATTTCCATTTAACAAACTAAAGGTAAATGGAAATTTCGAATTTAATTCAAATTGGTTTAATGATCTGAGCTTTCAAATTTCGAAAAATACAATTAATAAGAAGTAATTGCATAACGCATTATGAAGATGTCTTTAAATCATGTCTACATATGACAGTCGCCTAATTTTCGACAAAATCATTACTTACAGGATTAAATCTATTGATGCAGTTCACTAACTTTTATTAACTTTTTATACATTTCTAGAAGAATATAAAGCTTATGCTACGCTATTTTATTTAGCTAAAATTGAGAAGATATTTTAACTTTAACCTATAGATATAGTGTTAGTATTGGGAAGAAGTACTAACTGGTTATTCATTGGTATAATTATGGATTAACAAATACTGCACTTGTTTCAAATAGAACATTACTTGCGTTGTTTGCAATAGCATGTAAAATTAAATATTATATATCTATATTAGAAAAATAAACATTAATTTTTATATTGTGTGTACACAAAATTGTACAAATATTTATAATAGAATTTATTGTTTAAAGAAAGTAAAACATTTATTTTCTCTACGAATTAATAGTAAATAAACTTTTCAGGTGACTAATATTTAATTCCCTTCTTCTTACATGGGCAAAATAATAAAATTTATATTGAAACATAATTTAATGGTATCTATTTTAGTATTTATTTTACAGTATTTTATACTGTATAATCTGTATAATTAATATTAATACCAACAGTTTATGTGATGCAATAAAGTTAGTTTTTTGTTCTAAATTGTCAATTTTAATTCAATTTCATTTACTAAACATCTCTCTTAACATAAAAACTAATTATTGTTTTTATTTCCTCTTTCACTTTATATGTCCATTAATCAACAAATCAAATTCCTCTGTGATTCCAGTTTACAGTAAATATTGTAAAAAGCAGAACTTCGCACAAATATTCACGGTTTACATGTTACTCATTCCAAATACTTTTGTTGGCCTTATATCCGAGGGTTTTCATTTTCGCTTGTTGACCTCGACTGAGAACGATCTTCCAAATATGTAATGGTCGCGATGCCTCGGCTCGGTTTCTGGCATCGGAATGACGTAACGCGCCAGCTTGAACGAGAGATTACGCGATAGGACAATCTGTCGCGAATTATGTCCCACTTTGTCGCGAAGATCGCCAAATCGAAAGCCGCATACCCCAGAATAGCAGCTTCTCAATTTTACAGCATACTAGAAGTTGGCGAAACTTTAAAAGAAGCTGTACAAAACTTTCCGTGTCGGTGATTCCGGAAATATTAATTTCTTGTTTAATTTGTTTCGTTTCACAGTTACATTAACGAGGTTATTGGCGGCCGAATTATATAATAACCTAGAAATAGAAATGATATCTAGAATTTTATAAGTCTCTATTACTGTATAATATTAGTGTGTAATATTTAGTCGGAACCACGTAGTAATGGTATCATTTTCTCTATTAAAAAGAACAGGACTCTTTTTTTCTGATCTTTTGGTTAGGTCATTATAAGAGATCAAGCAGTTTTTAGATGATAATTTTATAAAATCTTTGACTGTAAAATCGGCTACAATACCCACATAAGAATAGTGTCCATACAGAAATAATTTATTTCTTCTTATGATTGAAAATAATTGATTTTTTCATTGAAAATTTTAGAAAAATAATGTTACTAAAATTTCAAGGGTACGTTAAATCTTAAGTATGTACCTCTATAAGTAATACCTCTATATTTAGAATATTCTATGCTGTTAATTCAAAATACAACACTTCGGTTTGAAGAAGTGAAAATCTATTTGCTTCGTTTATTTGAATGTATTTGGTATTTATCTAAGTATTTTTTATTAAAAAACTTAGATAATAAGAAAGCAAAAATAATGTATACTTCTTTCATAGAATAACCATAAAATTATTGCTTTTCTATGAGCAGTACTTATATAATTTTTTAATTTGGAGAATTCAATATATAAAATTTCGAAGTTGAAAGTACTCAAAACGAATTGTTTTATTACGTTACAAATGCGTGGGAGTAATGTTTCACGTGTAGTTGTGAATAGTAACACATTATATTCGCATATTCGATCAGTGCTAAAGGACGTATTAAACGAGAAGACTGATTGTGAGTACTATGTTACGTGTTATGACTGGTAATCTACATCGTGAACGAAGTGCACCACTTAAGCTAAGCAGACTGTCCTTGCCGCTAGAAGTCTGCGTTACGAATCTGTATCTGCATCAATGAAATCACTGTTTAAACGTTCACTTTAATGTCTGGAAAAAGTACTGCATCTCCGCTAAGATTAACTTAATTGAAACATTTGTGAAGTACGAATGGGGAATTTAATTGATCATTCCCTGGCAGTATTTAAATTCTTGTCTTTCATTTATCAACGTCACTGGTATAATTAAAATCTATTTGCTTCGTTTACTTATTTAACCATATACATACATACGTAAATGGAGTTCTTTTAATTGATAATGATTCTACTATTAATTATTGTTACGCAAATGAAAACTTAAATATAAAAAGGAAATGAAAACAAGTTCCTTTATAAAATAAAAACGAATTGCTATATTATCTATTTGTTGAAAATAGAAAGTTTTAGGGGGGAGCAACGTCAGTCACAGATATTCATTTTCAAGATTCTCTTTATATCCGTGAAATCTCAAGCAACATATCCGCGAGAAATGCTGTGGTATCTTTGAGACACAATTTCTCATACCCCAGAACTTTTGAAGTAATCTTGTAAATCTAATCGTGAGGAGCGAGTTCCAGCATCTGCCAGCCGTTTTCGGCGAATGGCGGACGTTTACGAGACCCGCAGGTCCAAATATTTATGCTACGACTGAGGTTCCTGGACCTATGATGTCAAATTTACTGTAAAACCCTGTAAACAGTCTTTTTTCTGGACCAGATTTACTGGAAGCTGAACCTTTCGAGAGTTCTTTTTATGTTTCACCGTGTATCATATGCGAACCACAAAAATTGCCGAGCAGTTGCTATAATACTTTGAGAATATCTGTTGAGTTTTAGGTAACTATAGTGACTTGATTATTAAATTTTTAATCAAAATTCCATGGATGACAATTGAAGAATAATAAAAATTCTGAAGTTTAACAGTAGATAATTGTCATGTAAAAAATGTATCAGATGGTACAATAATTTTAATTACCTATAATATCACCGTAATTTAATAATAAAATTTCATATATATTTTTATTTATTTACGAAAGAGCAGTACGGTATAAAAGGAACCACAACATTCCAGTAATAATTTTTTATTGAGCGAAAGGCTCTAAGAATAAGACAATTCAACATTAAACACAGAAATCATACTACGTCTCTTACGTCATAATGAGCGAGTAAAATAGTGTCCGTTCGTAAAGATTAAAATCGTCGAACTACAGAAGCCTGAAGCAATGAAATATGTACTTACATATACTTTTGAATAGATCGCAGCTCAGGCTTCAATGATTACGTAATTTATAATTTCTCGCATTCTTGTGTATCACATATTATTTCTTAACCCGATATTCATACTATATTAACAGAATTTCGAAAAAAAGAAATTTTTCGCTGTAAAATGAGGAAACAATGAAATAAATAAATAAAAATTAGTTTGTCTAGAAAATTGCAGTTACATGTTCTGTTATTTGTTATAATACAATATTTAATTTGTTGGTCAAATTTCGTGTACCTTGCCAGAAAAACGATTCCGTTGTCGAACTGCCTGGATTCCTCTATTTATTGGAAAGGGGGCAAAAACTATTGTGCAAATTGCACGGATTGAATGGACCGCTTTAATTTCTCCCTGTCTCGCGGCAGCGCCTAAGAACAGCCTTCCTCCCGCCATAAGATCGCGATCTCGGGCGTTTGCACGATAAAGGTGAACCAACAATGGCCG